GATAGACGAGTCCCAGTAGCGCAATCTCTCTGCGGAGCTGAGTCGGATGCGGTTTTAAGACGTACAGTTTGAGCAGTTAGATTGCATCAGAGCGTTGGGCCGCACAGTGTGATAACAAACATCATGAGCTGTGAACTTTTAAACCCAGCGGATTTGTCATACAGTGTGAGCTGTAGCTGCAAACAACGAATAAAAAAAATCCTACAGTGTAAACCCAGATTAAAACACAAAATTTGCTTAGATTATACAATTTAAACATACGTTTTTTAACTTTGAAAGCAACTGAGTGTTTCAACACTTTAATAGTTTTCTGGTAGTTACTTCCAGATTAGTAGAGCATAGAAAATAAAGGCTTCTTCTCTAGGGTTGGTTTTGGGAATGCAGAATAGAATGTTTGGGTGGTTAATCCACTGATGTCAAGTCTGTAATGCATTTAGTAGCTCAGACAACCAGTAATTTAACAGAACTAAAAGATATATTTTAGTCCGCTTTCTGAGGAAAGGGGAGCAATAATAATGATAATAATAATAAGTGAACTTTATTAATCTCACACTGGAGAAATTTACCTCTGCATTTAACCCATCCCCTTGGGGAGCAGTGGGCTGCCATTGTGCAGCGCCCGGGGAGCAGTGTGGGTTTAAGGGCCTTGCAACCTTCTCAGAGCACAAGCGCACTGCTCTATCCACTAGGCCAACACTCCCCACATGATGCAGAAAGTGGAATGTGAATAGAAGGGGTTAATGTGCTCCACGCGTACCTATATTACCACATGTACCTCTATATTTATTTATTTATTTTTTCCAAACAGTGTCCAGTCTGGCAATGTGGCAATAAGAATAATTGTCTTGATGCCAAAAAGAGCCCAGCAGATTTTACTCTCACAAGTGGAGCAGCACGGCTATAGCCATAGTGTTCCGCTTGTTTCATGCATATAAATTGCTTTATTATAATTATGCAGGGAGTTTTACAGATTATATGGACACTGCAGTGTAAGTAGAACAGAAGGGGAAAAACAGAAAAAAAGGAGAAAAGATTAAATAATGAGGAGATAGAAGGGAGATAATGATAAAATATTTTCAGTCTGCTTCATCACCTCCAAAGAGATGTAAAAAGAACAGCACAACCAACAGACATGGTACGAGACATACAATAAAGCAACACCTAGATACTATCGCTGAAGTAGTATTAGTTAATCTGACATGTACTCTGTGTTACCTGAAGCTAAGAATATGGGCTTTCTGTATGAAAGTGAATCTCTGAGTACCTGGAACCAAGCACCTGTAGTTGTTTGTGAGAGTGCACTTGTGCATGTAAAGTTTATGCAAAGGAAAAATGTCTCTGTAACGTACCTCTACATTTAACAGCCTTCTTACAAACTCACAAGCTTTGTCTCTGAATCACCCTGAGAGTTCAGGCAGAGTCGTATTACATAATCATTTTCCGTCTGGTTGTCTCTCCCTGTGTGGGCAGGCCTCGCTGTGTCCGCCTGCAGGTGAGGCTGTAAGGGCTGAAAGTAAGACAGTGTGCCAGCTTACCTTGCTGAGAAATAATTTTCCTCAAGCTGTCAGTATTATCTCTTGCTAGCGCAGGAAAGGGAGGGGCTGAGTGAGAAGGAAATAAATAATTTGGTGTGCATGGAAGCATAAAGACCTGGAAACAGCGGGTCATTCATTTTTTGGAAACTGTTTAGCTGTTAAAAAACAGTGTTTTATACTGACGAAGAGCAGCTTTGAGATGAGCCTGTAGTTCTGCAGTTCTGCTTATCCAGGTTGCTCTTTTTCAACAGCTGTTGATCATTGCTGTTTTAGGACCTCAGTGGGAAACACCTAATTTTTGTCAAATCAAGTTTTATGACTCAAAAACTCTTATAGAAGGGATGGAGCTGGGATGAAGGAGTGAAGGAAGGGATGAATATAATTATGCTTCATATAAATGTGCTACAGTGCAAGAACATTAGATAATTCAATAAATGATGAAATGCTTATGTTCACTTCTTTGAATAAAAATCAATATCTTTATCTAATTAATTATAAATGTATTAAATAAGTGTATTTATTTGAAGTTTTAATTAATTAATGACAAATTTAAGTTATTATTTCTTAAGTTATTTATTGTATTGTGGCACTCGTCACCCAACTGTGGAGTATTGATCCTTAGATTAGGGAGCAACAGTAGATATTTACCTAAACTTGTTTATGTTAATAGTCTTGTGTCCGATATCTTTTTTTGCATCATTTTTGGAAATATTTTTCACCCAAAAAAACTGAAGCTCTCCATTTTTATTATTTCTCTTTATACCAATTATACAGTTTTTTTTTTTTAGATAATTGTGGCAAACTGATCCCAATGAGTTTCTCTGAAATATGAACCTTTGTGGGGTCTGAGTTCTTTATAAATATCTAGTCTCTTCCAATGAAGACAGGTGCTTCGTTAACACCAAAATAGCCTGTTCATTCACTTTTCCCAGAAGGCACGTTCTTTTTTTTTTTTTTTTCCTGTTGATGATGTCACTCCAAATGCCTAGTGTTAATTTTCTCTTAATTTATGCAAGCTTTTATTTATGACGGAGGAAAAAAAAAAATAAACCTCAATTGTTGCCACTGTGTTTCCTTGTCATCCTAGGTGTATGACAGAGTGGCTGGAGAAGAGGTGCTCCCACTGGAGAAGAGGTTATGGAGACTCAGGTCCCATTGCGGCCCTGTGGCTGGCTCCATCTTCGCCTTTGTGGCAGTGCTGGATTTCCTGTTCCTTCTGCTCCTGCAGTGGTTGGTACCAGACCGGCACATGGACTTTGCTGTGGATGCCACAGGCCCAAATGGATTGTGGGTAAAGAAAAGACAAAAAAGTGAACCTGGTTGCTAATCTACCATGAAAACGAACTTCAGAGACACAGAAGAGTAAATAACGGCTGCTACACCTTCACCTGCTGACACGGTTGTAGGAGTGCAAACAACATTATTGTAAGAGCTACCTAATGCTGAACACGCTCAGGAGAATCCTTCGGTGTTTACGGCGTATTAACAAAAGGGGATATGTTTTTATTTTGACCATTTAATGATTTATACACTCATAAAGATTAGTACAAAAATCATTTTCAATTTCTTTGTGTTTCCCTTCTTAGGTGACAGACCTTGATGTCAATTTTTAACTGGTATTCATTTGAAGATTTTCATATTTCTTCCGGTGCAATATTGCATTAATAAGCAGAATATTTATTACCCTTATTTTTTTTCCCTTCTCGACATTTTACACTTCCCTCTTTTTTGTGATCCTGGATGTAATCACAGTCACGTATAAGTACTGACCTTTAAATGATTTTAAAGAGAAGCCACAGTACAAAGAAAATTGTAGATTAATATTTTGAAAGCCTTAATAACTACAGGCTTTAAACTTAATTCTTTTTTTTTTCTTTTAAAGTTACACATAAAAAATGGGGGTGGAAAAAATGTTTAAACGTCTAAAGAAGAGACAAAAAGCTGCAGTATCTTCTGTTACTGATGGAACGTATAGTATGACTTGTAAAATGTATTTTTTTTTGTAAAAGCATATATCATGGGAGGTTTTACCAAGTGAACAATAAGTTGGTATGGGTGATGACAGTACTTTTAAATGAAAAATAAAATTTTTTATTTGTATCCTATTTATATATTTTTTTCTTTTATTATCTACAGTTTAAAGGTTCTTTACCCACACAATGTGAATTTTACGGTTTCTGATATTTAGTTATTAAGATGTAGATTTTAGGAAAGAGCATAGAGCCCCTGGAGGATGTTTTAAAGATTGATAGCTTCACTGAGTTTTGCAA